CGCCCACCACGATTTTAGACCCGAATTTCGAAAGGGGGTTTAGTTAAAAAGGTTCGGAATCTTCGTGTTTGAGCCGGGGTCGGGAGATACTCAGTTTCTACAGACGCGCGAGACGACGACGCGTATGGGCAATTAGTCATCATGCGCGGATAGAGATGTTATGTATGACAGGAACGAAAATAGTTTCGACGGTTAAAACAGGTTCTGAATCTTTAGTTTGAGCCGGGGTCGGGAGATACTCAGTTTCTACAGACGCGCGAGACGACGACGCGTATGGGCAATTAGTCATGACGACACCCCGCGAAACGTGCGGCGGCGCGAAAACCGACCGCGACTTTTCGCCGATCGGTCGGACGCGGAACGTGTCCCGCGGCGCGTTGACGCCACCGCGGCGCAGACGAGCGCGCGCGCGGCACGCGCGGCGACATCGCAGACTCCGCGCCGCGAACGCGAGGTCGATATCGCGGCGGGATCGCGCCGGACGGTCGGGTCGCGGGGACGAGGCGCGCGCGGCGACGGCGGGAGCGCGCCACGTCGCGTTGTCGGACGGATTCCTTATCGCAGGGTCGTTCGATTGAGATCTCCGCGCGAAGGCGGTCGACGAGGGCGCGCCCGCGTCCGCTCCATCGCGCGCCTCGGTCGCGGCCGCGACTTGCACTGGGGACGCGCGGGAACCTCCTCCTCCTCCTCCTCGCGCGAACGCGATGGGGTGCGTCGCGTCCAAGCCCGACGCGAAACCGCGAGCTTCGGACGCGAGCCTCGACGGGGACCCCATGCGCGGGTACCACGGCCTCGACGCGAGCGTGCACGCCGCGGACGAGGCGATGATGCGCGAGGGCGGCGAAGAGGAGGAGTCCTACGCCGCCGACGTCTCCGTGCTCGGACCGATGAAATCTGGCCGCGCCGCGCACGGCGGCGGCGACTCGCCGCCTCCCGAGCCGATCACCCGCCGCGAGAGCGTGAGCGACCGCCGGCGCGAGTCCGTCGGACTCGTCCAGCAACGCCGCGTCTCCGCGGCGCCGCGCGTGAGCGTCTCCTCGAAAGGCGGCGGCGGGGGCGGTGGCGGGGGCGGAGGCACGAATTTCGCGGAGAGAGGCGTGTGGCCCGGATGGCTCGAAGAGCACGCGGGGTCGGCGCTCGCGGACTGGCTCCCGAGGGACGTGCTCACGTTTAAGACGCTCGCGAAAGTCGGTCAGGGGACGTTCAGCCGCGTGTACAAGGCGTCGGACTTGAACGAGGGCGGGGAGCCGTGCGCGCTGAAGGAGATTCGGTTGGAGCGCGCGGACAAGGACACGCTCTCGTTGGTGGCGCGAGAGATAATGATGCTGCGAAAACTGGGCGACCACGACAACGTCGTGAATCTGCGCGCGATCGCGGTGGACTCGAACGACGCCGCGGCGATATATCTCGTGTTTGAGTACCTCCCGCACGACCTCGCCGGGTTGATGTCCTCGCGCGCGTCGAGGATGCGAGAGAAGAAGAAAGGAGGCGGCGGCGGCGGCGGCGACGACGACGACGACGGCGGCGACGTCGCCGCGGGTCGCGTGTTGTCCCCAGGGGAGGTCAAACACGTCGCGAAGCAGCTCCTGAAAGCGCTCGCGCACTGCCACGCCGCGGGCGGGATGCACCGCGACGTGAAGTGCAGCAACCTGCTCGTGGACGACACCGGAGACGTCAAGCTCGCGGATTTTGGCCTATCCCGCACGCCGAGAGACGCGGAACCGCTGACGAACCACGTCGTGACGCTGTGGTACCGTCCCCCGGAGCTGCTGCTCGGCGCGAGGCGATACGACAGCAAGGTGGACGTGTGGTCCGCCGGGTGCGTCCTCGCGGAGCTGCTGTGGGGCGAGCCGATATTACCCGGTCGCACGGAGGTGGAACAGCTGCACTTGATCTTCAAGCTCGTCGGCAGCGAGGGAAGCGCGCGGCTCGCGGAGAAGTGCAAGGGGTTCGCGCCGACGTCCAAGGTGAAGGAGTACCCGCGCGCGCTCGAGGATCGGTTCGGCGTGCTGACGGAGCGGTTCGACGCGAACGCGCTGGATCTCGTCTCGAGGCTGCTGTCTTTGGACCCGGACGACCGACCGACCGCGGCGGAGGCGGCGCGGCACCCGTACTTCTCCGCGAGGACGGCGCCGAAGGCGACGGCGTTGGATCTCGAGGGCGAGAGCGACTCGCACGAGTTCACGCAGCGCAGGTCCAAGTCGCTCGCGGCGGCGAACGGGTCCGGGATCGTGGGGTCGCATTCCATGAAAGGCGACGGCGGCGTCGCGGCGAGCGACGTCACGTTTACCACGCGGGACGTGCGCGTCGACGGCTCCGGGAGGAACCCGCGGATGAGCCTCGACGCCGCCTCCGAGCTCGGTCTCGGTCCCGCCGCGAGAACCAACAGCTTCGGAGGGCGGCGGACGACGCGGAGGTTGTCGGTGTCGACGATCGCGGAGGTGCCGACTCCGTGACGAGCGCGAGGGCGCGGAGGACGGCTCCAGCGCGTGCTTATTATTTGCTTATTATTTACGATTAATCGAGTCGCGCGACGACGTACAGTACTGTACGTCGCCGCGTGCGTCCCTCGTCGCGTCGTCGTCCCGGCTCGCGTCACCCGCGTCTCTCCTGTCGTCACCCGGCTCACGTCTCCCGCCGAGCGTCGCGTCGTCGTCCGCCTCACTTCCTCGGCGGGACGGGACGCCGCTCGACGTCCGCGCCGACGCCGCGGAGCTTCGCGTCGAGACCCTCGTACCCGCGGTCGAGGTGCGCGAGCCCGGCGACGCGCGTGGGCCCCTGGGCTTCGCCGTCGCCGTCGCCGTCGCCGTCGCCGTCGCCCATCGGCGCCATAACGGCCAGCCCGGCGACGATCAACGCCGCCGACGCGCGCAGATCGCTCCCGCGGACGTCCGCGCGTCGCAACCCCCTCGCGCCGACGCCGACGATCCGCAGCGCGCGCCCCGCGTTGGCGTTGGCGTTGGCGTTGGCGTTCGCGACGGCGTCGTCGCCGTCGGCGTCCACGAAGTCGCACTCGACGCCCATCCTTCTGAGCTCGGGGACGTGGCTCCAACGCGACTCGAACACCGTCTCTCGAACGATCGCGACGCCCTCCGCGCACGCGTTCAGGACGCACAGCTGCGGCTGCATGTCCGTCGGCACGCCAGGGTACGGCGCGGTCGTGAAGTCGACCGCGCGGAGGCCGCCGCGCGGCGGGGGGGTGATCGTCATCGACCGTCGCCTCGACGTCGAATTCGAATTCGAATTCGAATTCGATTTCGATTTCGATTCGCCCCCCACCTCGTCGCCGACGTCGATCGAACACCCGGCGTCGATCAACAGCGCCGTCGTCGCGGTCATGTGCTCAGGGATCACGGGCGACAGCGTGAGCGTCGACCCGACGCACGCGGCGACGACGAGCATCGTCCCCGCTTCGATCCTATCCGGGATGGCGTCGTGCGCGCACCCTCCCAACCCCCCCCTCCCCGTCCCGCCGCCGCCGCCGTCCCCCTTCTCCCCGCTCCCCGCGACGCCGACGCCCTCGATGGTTATGACGCTCGTCCCCGCGCCGCGTATCTTCGCCCCCGACGCGTTCAGCATCGCCGCGAGGTCCTCGATCTCCGGCTCCGCGGCCGCGTTCACGATCGTCGTGTCCCCCACCGCGAGCGACGCGGCCATCACGATCGCGTGCGTCGCGCCGACGCTCGGAAACCGCATGACGTGCGTCCCCGCGCCGCGCAGCTTCCCGTCGCGCGCGATCGCCCTCGCCTCGACGACGCCGCGCGACGTGACCTCCACGACCGCGCCGAGCGCGCGGAAGCCGTCGAGGTGGAGGTCCACCGGCCGCGCGCCGATCGCGCAGCCGCCCGGCAGCGGCATTGAGACGCGACCGGCGCGCGCGAGGATCGGACCCGCGGCGAAGAAGGAGGCTCGGAGCTTCGCGACCGCGTCCGCGCTGGGCGACGCGCGCAGATCTTCCGCGCGCGCGTGGACGACGACGACGCCCGAAGAGGGGGTATTCGCGGTATTCGCGTCCTCGCCGCCGACGTCGACGCGCGCGCCGACGGAGCGCAGCACGTCGATCATGGCGCGCACGTCCGCGAGCCCGATGGGAACGTCGCGCAGGACGACTTCGTCGCCGCACGCGAGCGCGCCCGCGAGGAGCGCGAGGACCGCGTTCTTCGCGCCCGCGATGGGGACGACGCCGCGGAGGGACGCGCACGGGGAGACGGCGAGGTACCCGCCCGAGTCTGCTGCGCCGTGGGAGGAGGAGGAGGAGGAGGAGGAGGAGGAGGAGGAGGAGGAGGCGGACGAGCGCGCGGAACGCGAGGACGCCGCGCGCGTCGACGGCGCGTCCTCCTCGGAGAAGACCGCCGCGCGCGCGCGGAACGCGACGCGCGCGCGCGCCGGCGGCGGCGCGCGGGCGCGCGCGACGCGGCGCGGCGCCGCGGGCGCGCGCGCGAGGCGCGCGACGGCCGCGGAGGCGCCCGTCGCGCCCGGCGCCATCGTCGAGTGTTCAAAACAGGTCCTGTGACAGGTGCCCACCGATACGGACGCTTCGCCCCCGATCGATGAGCGACGCGGCCGTCTCTCGTACGCGTACGCGCTAGGGCTATGTGTATATGTGTATTTAGTATCGTCGTGCACGCAAGTACGGGTACGCGGTCCGATATTTTCTCTGGACGGCCAAGAGAAAATCGACGAAACGCTGAGAAACGGGCCTCGTGACAAAGAATTCTCCGCGTGTCGCGAGGCGCGCCGCACTCCCCCTCACAGCCCGCGCGCGCGCACACACGCCACGGGCGACTTCCGCGGAAGGAAGAGAAGCAAGGTGAGCGATCGACGCCCGTCCCGCGCGCGCTCGCGCGACGTCGCGCCCTCCGCGAGGGTGCAATCTCCGCGCTCGAGGGGGCGCGGCGGAAACTCTTCATCGGCCGCTGAGAGGCCGTTTCACACAACGCCCGTGTGAGGCGGTCGCAATCTCGCGCGTTCGCGTCGCGCAATTGCCGCCGGGGACGCGCCCGCGTCGCGCGCTCGATGCGTCTCTCGCGATCGCGCCTCGCGAATACGGATCACCGCGGAGTTTACTAACTTCCCTCGCGTTTTCGCATCCATCGCAGGCGTCCACGCGAGACACGCCTCGCGCGGCGACGACGCGCGCGCGATGTCCCAACCCGCGGACCCGGCCCCGCCCCCTATCCCGAAGAGGAGGAGGACCGATCCCGCCGCCGGTCGATCCGGCACGCGGCCGATCAAGAAACCCGTCCAGCCCGGGGACGAGGACGACATCAACTCCCTCTTCTGGCTCGTGGAGGTGCGTGAATCGCGAACGCGCTCTGACCCGCGGCGTGCGCGCGCGGCGCGCCCGCGCGTAGGGTCCAGCCGGGTTTTTTTTTCCACTCTCGCGCTGTCGCGCGGAGCGTCCACGCCGTGCGCGAGGATTTGGAGCCGCGCGGCGCGCGCGTAATGCGCCGCCGCGCGCGCGTCGTCGCCGCGGGCCGCGTCTGGTCCGCCGCGCGATCACGCGCGGAGAGCCCGCGCGACGTCTGGACCGATTTTTGGCGCGCGACGCGCGTCACGCGGCGCGGATCTCGCGTCGCGCGTCGTCGCCCCCGCGTCGTCGCCCCCGCGCGCGACGTGTCGCGGGCGCGTAACGCCTAAACCCTCGTCGACGGTTTTTTTTCCTCGGAGCGATCGATCGCTGACCGCGTCGTCGCTCTCTCTCTCGTTCCCCCACCACCACGTGTTATACAGGCGGCGTCCAAGGAAGACCTGAAAGGTTTAGTCCCCGGCGCGACGGGCAAGGGGAAGGCGAAAGCGCCGTCGGCCGCGGCCAAGGCGAAGGCGGCGAAGACCGCCGCGACGGCGGCGGCGGCCAAGAAGAGAAAAGCGGGCGCGGACGCCGCCGCCGCCGCGAGCGCGAGCGCGGGCGCCGGCGCCGAGGACGACGCTAACAACAAAGGCAGCACGCAGCAGTGGACGCTGCAGGAGGACAACGTCCTGAGGAAACTCGTCGGCGAGCACGGCCACCGGAAATGGAGCTTCATCGCGTCGAAGATGAACGGCCGCCGCGGGAAGCAGTGCCGCGACAGGTGGCTGAACCACCTCAAGCCGGACATTCGCCGCGGCGAGTGGACCGCGGAGGAGGAGCGCATCTTAGTCGAAGGTCACCGAATGTTGGGCACGCGCTGGGCCGCGCTCGCGAAACTTCTCCCGGGGAGGCCAGAGAACGCGATCAAGAACCACTGGCACGCGACGCTCCGGTGCAAGTGGGCGCAGCGAGGCGGGAAGATCAGCGAACTGCAGGCGTATCAACACTCGCTGCAGCTCACCAACGGCGCCGGCGGCGGCGCGGCGATCGGCGTCGGTCAACCCGGCGCGGCGGGCGCGAAGCCGCCCAACCCGATGGCCGGCGTGCTGGGCGGGGTGCCAGGGCAAGGGCAGAGCGCGGTGAGCGCGGCCGCGGCGGTCGCCGCGGCGGCCGCCGCCGCCGCCGCGGTGCAGAAGCACGGGAAGGGCGCGGGGGCGCCGTTTGATTTCGACGGCGCGGCGACGGCGGCGGCGGTGGCCGCGGCGGCCGCGGCGGTCGTCGGGAGAGGCACCGGCGGCGCCGGCGGCAACGCGGAAGCGAACACGCAAGCGATCGCGCGCGCGCTGGACTCGCTCGTGCAGGGCAACGCGAACGCGGCGAAGAACGCGGCGAAGAACGCGGCGGCGGCGGCGCGGGCGGAGGCGCTCGCGAACGCGACGGCGGCGAGAGACGCCGCCGCCGCCGCCGCCGCGAAGACGGAGCGCGCGGAGGCTGCCGTAGCGACCGCTCGCGCGACGACGCCGCCTTCGAACGATCTCGCGTCGCTCGCGAGCGACTGCGCGACGTTGTCTGGCGACGCCGCGCTCGCGGCCGCGGGGCTCGCCGTGACGGGCGCCGCCGCGGACGTCATCGAAGCCACCGAGCGGCCGCTAGGTGCGTTCTACACACTGGTCCCCATACGACCGCGTCGGCGTGGTGAACGCCGATCCTTAAGGACTTTTGCCGGCGTCTCTCTGCGCCCACCCCTCGCTTTCAATCCCCGCCCTCGGCGCCTTTCAACTCCGCTTCTGACGCCTTTCAACTCCACCCCAGATCTGAACCGGTACGTCGCGAGCGTTCGAAGCGCGGGCGCCAGCTGCGCGGAGGTTGTCACGCTGACGTCGTCGCACTACCTCAAGAAAGGGAGCGGGGGGTTCCCGCTCCTCGGCGAGCACCTCGCCGCGCACGCGACGCTCGTGGAGAGCGCGCTGCGGCGTATCGCGGGGACGATTCGCAAGCGGTACAATTCGATCGGAAAAGTCGCGCTCGCGATTCGATTAGGCAATCGCGTCAAGGAGGGCGATCTCGCGCTCGTGATCGCGGTTTCCGCGCCGCGGTGGCGCGACGCGGTCGACGCCGCGCATCACGCGAGCTCGGACGTTAAGGATAAGCTCATCGCGTCGATCGCGCCGCAGTGCCTCGGGAAGGAGCCGAAAGCGGCCGCCGCGCTCGCCGTCGTCGCCGCCGCCGCGGGGACGTCGGTGGAGGAGATTTTGAAGCGCGACGACTCGGACGACGAGGAGGACGAGGACAACTCGCCGGTGCCTATCGGCGCCGCCGCCGCCGCGCTCGGGGGGATCACGCGCGTCCCTTCGAACTTTAGCGGCGACGACGGCGCGGACGTGGATCAACCCGGCGAGGGCGAGGGCGAGGGCGAGGAGGAGGTGGCCGGCGACGGCGACGACGACGACGACGACGCCGACGCCGACGCGGACGCCGACGCGGGGGGGGCGCCTCGGAACGAAAGCCCGGCGCCAACCACCCCGGAGGAGATGGCGAACGCGTGAGGGCACAGGGTGACGGGGAGTGGGATCGCCTGAGCCTCAGGCACCGCGCGAGGCGCGAGGACTAAACGAAGAAAGAAACGAAACGAATCGATAGAAAAGTTGCGAGAGAACGACGAGCTCTTTCATTCATCGTCTCTCCGCGTTCTGTTCGCTTCGCGCGCGCATCACGGACCCGGGGACGGGGGAGAGGCTTCGCCCTCCGCGCCGCCTTCGCCTCCAGCGTCCATCGGCGTCGTCGTCGTCGTCGTCGCGCCTTCTCCACCCGCCGCCGCCGCCGCCGCCGCCGCGCCCGGCTGCGCGCCCCCCGATCCCTCCTCCCGAGGACGACCACCACGACGACCACCACCACCACCACCGCGGCGCCGGAGAAGACGATCGGCGAACACGAGCGGGTCGTCGTGGACTTCCTCCCGGACCCGTCGGCGTCGGCGTCGGCGTCGGCGACCGCGCCGACCGCGTCGACGTCCGACGAGATGTCCCAGCAGTCGGACGATTCGCTGCTGCTCCTCAACTACCACCTCCCGTCCTTCACGC